CTAGCCCAGCCCAGTCCGGCCCCACCCAGCCAGCCAAGCCCAGCACAGCTCCGCCCATCCGATGTAGTACACTCACATGATTATTCGTTAGGTCGTATGAATACGCCTTTCCTTCTACTTATTTTTTGACGATATCCGCGTTGCGCGTGTCTGCATTCGGGTTCGTGGCCCCTATCAGGTTCCTTTTTCTCTTGTGTTCTAGCCCCTGCTTAGCGGCTTAGCCCGTGAACCGTCAACCCAACAGAAACCCAAGACTGTATGACTCAGTTTCGGAATTGTGCTGTCTCGGTGCCGGAATTGGCTTTCCTGGCTTCTGAAACGCAGGTTCCTGAATTTCTCGGCGTGGTTTCCGAATTTCTGGCCCCAGTTCTCGGAATCAGTTCCGAAATTGCTGGCTTAGTTTCTGAATGGGTCTTTGCTCCCTGTTTCTCAAACTCTATCGGAACGATTCCCTCACTTTTAGAGGCTCGAAACCCTTTCCAACGGCTTGTTCCTTGTTCTCAGATGCTGCTGTCAATTTCGAAAGTTTAGCTCCTGTTTTCCTTTCGCTCTGAGAGCTGTTTGCCCGTGTTTCAACAGCTCGAAGCCAGTTCGAACGGTTTGCTCATTGTTGCTCCTTGTTCTGGAACGCTGCAATCAATGTCGAACCGTTTGCTCCTCTTGTCAACGGCTCTAACTTTTTTCGAGTGGTTTGCTCAAACTTTCGAGCAGTTTTTGCCTGTCTAGCATTCTAATCAGCAAGTTGCTCCTGTTTCAGAGATGCGCTAATCCCGTTCGAGCGGCTTTTCTTGTTTCTCAAACGCTCCCGTCCCGTTCGAGCGATTCGCTCTTGCCTGTCAGACGTTCTAGTTCTAGTCCCTTTTCCAGCAGTTGTTTCTTTTCTCTCTGGGGCGCCAGTCCTGTTCGAGCGGCTTGCATCTCCGTCTCAAATGCTCTAGTCCCTCTTCAGGACGCTTGTTTCCTTTTCTCAAGTGTTCTGATTGGTGCCTTTTGAAGGGTTTGTTTTTTGTTACACATGCTCTGATCCCTTTCGAGCAGCTTGCTCCCTTTGTTCAATCACCTAAGTCCCTGTCGCACGGTTGCTCTAGTCTGTTGTGGGAGGTTTTCTGTTTTTTCTCAAACGCTAAAATTCATTTCCCGCGGTGTCCCTTTCGAGTCATTTGCTCCTTTTTCTCACCTGCTCTGGTCCCTTTCGAGCCATTTGCTCTCTTTTCTCACATGCTCTAGTCCCTTGCTGGCGGTTTACTCTTGTTTCTCCGATGATCTAATCCCTTTCGAGCGCGTTGAGCGTTTCTCCACAGAATTCCAATGCTCCAGTTAGTCCCGTTGGAGCGGTCTGCGGCTTTTCTGCAAGCTCTAGACCCTTACGAGCAGTTTGCTCCTTTTTCTCAAAGGCTCTAACTTCTTTGTGCGCTCCAGTACGCGCTGCAGTGGCACTGCAGCGCGTCACATGTATCTGCACAAGAAGAGCACGTGTTTCTGCCAGTTGTGCCAAGCCACATTTTGCTTCCACTGCAGGCGCTCGGAAGGCTTGGACAGGTATTCCTCAAGTGTGGCAGCACACAGGTTTGAAAGGCGGTGTGCAAACCTGCTGCAAGAAAGCGACGATGATGGAAATATCCTCCTTCTGCTTGATTTCGGCTTCATCCAGTTTCTCTCGCCAGAGTTGGATAACTCGCTGACGCATGAAGAGGTCAAAGAAGCCAATGTAGGTGCAAAAGGCACCGCAAATCAGAACATCCCCGATCCTGAGCGTTGTCAGCCGAAGTGAAGGGCGAAGCAACGACTGAAACAGTGTTACACACTGCGTGGCAACTGCACTGCATCCTTCTATGCTGGCCCGGATCATGCTGGCCGTCTGCTCCTGAAATCCCTTGGAAGAGCCTTGCCATCTTACTTTCTCTGATGACAGGTCGGTAAGAAGCTGGGTTGATCTTGAGCAGTTCTTCTGAACCTGAGGCATTTCGCAATTCAAGGGAAATTGACTATGTCGACATTGGACTGGTGGCGGGCGCTGCCCTAAAACATCCGCGTGGCTTGCTGCATTTGGTGCTTGATCTGCTCCACGGAGGTGATCAGCTGCGCATACCTTGGATTCTGCGACGTCCCAAAAACCTCCGGGGCCAGGAGGCTGTGGTGTCCATGCACAAATGCAGGCCGGCCGCTGCTCCTTATACTGCTGGATTTTCTTCTCCATCTCTGCAACCTCCTTCTCGCACGCCTGCAGCTCTACTTTGTTCTTGTCCGCCTGCTGCTGCATCTGCTGGAGCTCATTCCTGCGCTCAAGTGAGACTGTCACTTCTTGACTTCCGCAGCAATCTGAACTGTGTGCGATTACGACGCCTCATGGGCTCCATCATGTTCAGGAGATCCGCAAACTGCAGTTGGCTTTCTACCCACTGAGCCACTGGGCCAGCACAGCGGGAAGCTTGCTTGATCCGCGACACGTCCCATCCCTGAGGGCCAGCAGTGCTAATGTGTGGGACGCAAAAACATTTTGGTGCGTCGCTCGGAAATGGCCTTGTTTTGGATGTACTTCTTCTTGAGTGTCTCCCTCGTGGCATCCTGCAGCAACAAGTCCACGCTTGAAGACGCTTGTTATCCTGTGAGGTTGGGGACAGAGGAATCTCCATCTCGAAAGGTCCTTCAGCTGCTCCGCATCCTTGGATGTGAACACAAAGTGACCAGACTGTGCGGAATTGCACACGGAACAGTGCTAGAGACATGAGAACATCCTCCCCATACAATGGCCAGCGTCGTACTCCAGAATACTGGGAATAAAGTTCGCATCCCGCATCACCTTGCGCACCGCCTCCCAGTTGATGGTGGCCGGCGGGATGTCCGGCCGGACCATGAGGATCACCGCCTCCATGGCCATCTTCACGTGCTCCGGGGGCTTGTTCATGGACCGGAGCCTCAGAGGCAAAAAAGGGCTCGGCCTGCCTCAAGACACTTCGTCGCTGCACTTCGCGCTCCCAAGGGGCTCGTCGAGGGCCTGCTTGTTCACGGCGCCCACGGCGCTCTTGGCGGCCTCCAAGGCAGGCTCCACCTCCTCGATCTTCTTCTGAATCTCCCCCCTTCTCTCGTCGATGACCTTGCTCTGCTCCGCCAAGTCCACCTCAGCGACAGCGCGGCCCAAGCGCGACACCGCCTTGCGGCCTTGCCCTTTTGAAGGCCTGGCCTGGAGCTTCTGTGACGCCTGCTTCCGCTCCTCGGCCTCGCCCTGGCCCTTGACCATCTGGGACATCATCCTCGGCGCGGCGAGGGGCGAGGGGCGAGGGGCGAGGGGCGAGGGGCGGAGCTCCAGAGCAGAAGCCACAAGCAATCGAACAAACCATCTCTGAGGGTCTCTTCCGCTTCCTTGTTCTTGGCCGTCAGCATCTTCTCCTTCTCGGCTAAGCCGCTCTGCAGGTTGGCCACTTGGTCCTCGGTCTCCTTGAGCTTCTTCAGGCCTGCTCGGACTCCGAGGGCACGAGGCCGCACATTAAGGGGGGCATCTTTGGGGGGCCGGGGGGCGCACCGCTTTGTTAAAGCACTTCGGCCTCCATCGATGTGGCTTTGCTGGTCCAAGACTTCGTCGCGCTTCTCTGTCATCAATCCTCAGCTTCGGCATGTCTGAAAGTGTACAAGTACTGGGGCATTCGCATTCAGCATCCCGCCGATGAAGTGGTTGATGAAGTCGAGGAAATCGCGAGGCGTGATGAAGTTGTATCTCAGGGCGCTTTTCTTCAGGTCCACATTGGTCTGGTCCACCTATCAAGCACATCGTAGTTCGACTGATTTCCAGGAGATGGAACCAGCCAGCCTTATGTCCTCCAACCCACTCCGCAGCCACATGGAACAAGTGCAGTACAAGTCCCGACCTGTTGGTGGAATGCCACAATCGTCTCCGACAGCTTCTGATGTCGAAGAGCATCCTCGTCAGGTGCATACTTGTTTCGCAGATCCATGCTGTGAAGGGATGCAGTCCTTCTCCTCGCCAGCCCCAGTACAGCCACCTCGGATTTGTTGAGTAGTTCTGCAGGCTCACGGCAGTGACACCGTTTCTTGAAGGAAAGCGACCCGTGAAGGTATCTTCACCAATCTGCATGCTGGCCTTGTCAATGTCAGAGCGCATGAGAAGGCCAAAGCAAGGGTGTGGACGCCACACACTGCAGGCATCTGCAGGCCCAGTTGCGGTGAAGTCGGCGGCCACCTGCAGAAGAGCCTCCTGTGGCCAGTCCCCAAACCAGTCGATGACACAGCGATTGAACAACGCCGGGCTGGAGTTCGACCGATTGTAGAAGTCGGGATTCGCGGGGTTCCTGGCAACGGCTTGGACTGATGCTCAACTCGTGCACAGTGACGACATGAAGGTTATGTGTGTGCGTGTGTGTGTGTGTGTGTATGCGTATGTGTATGTATGTGTATGTTCGTGTGTGGGGGGGGCAACCCGGTCACCAAGGGCTTTGTTTCGCATGTTTAGCTCTCCCTGGGGAACTCCTGCCAACGAAGACGCCCCCAAGGAGGGGGTGTAGCGAACCTGGATGGCGTCGTCCATAGCTGTATGTCGCCGTACATCTTTAACCCTGCAAATAGGAATTATAGAAGACAAGTCTGTGTGTCTGTGTTTCTGTGTGTCTGCGTGTCTGCGTGTCTGCGTGTCTGCGTGTCTGCGTGTCTGCGTCTCTGTGTCTGTCTCTGTGTCTGTGTCTGTCTCTGTGTCTGTCTCTGTGTATGTCTCTGTGTCTGTCTCTGTGTCTGTCTCTGTGTCTGTCTCTGTCTGTCTGTCTCTGT